ACATGAGTACTAACCTCTCTGTAATTTGTTGATTACTTAATTCTTTGATGTCATCTTTTACTACCATCTGCCTTCTCTTCTATTCATTTCACACTGTTTCCCATCTCTATTCTGTGCTCATGCTATCCCATCTGGCTAAATGCCCTACTAGTCAATTTCCTCTAAGTTTTTCTATATAATATTATAATTATTTATTTTTTTCTCTTGTCCTCAACCTAAAGCTTCTATATGATATAGATTATACATGATGTGCAGATTTTTCCCCTGAGCATGTGGCAATGACAGCTGCTTGAATGAAAAAAAAAAAAAAAACTTAATCTTATTTACTGTTCTAAGCATTTTTCTGATAAATATGCTTTTTAAAAAAATTTTCATTTGTCCTTTGAATTTCTCCTAATTGTCTTCTAAGTTAGCTTATCATCACTTCCATGCCAAACTCTACACTCCCTCTAACTACCATACTTTTAACAGTTCCTTCGTCTATGTTATTCATTCTGTAAAGGCTCAAAAATCTCAAAATTGCAGCAAACTCATCTCTACCTTCACTTCACATATACAATATGACAGAGATGCATTATCCCCTGAGTTCATTTCTTTTACTTTCCCTATCACAAACTGTCCTGATTTGGGATATAACTAAATTTCATTGTAATATTCTGTCATCTGTTCACCTAGCACAAACCTTAACCTCAAATCTTTCCCTCTGATTTAAATGTCTCTGAAGCATTGCTTTGATTAGGATACTTTTGTACTCAAAATCTTGTTTCCATGGCAGATCCATTGAGAGTTGTGTAGTAAACATCAATTTTCTTCTTATTTCTTACTAATGTTTTTGATGAAATAATATGCTCGGAAGACAAAAATGCACTTTTCTCAGCTTCACATCAGCCAAATGTGGCTGTGTGACACAGTTTTGACTAAGTCATTTACATAGGTCTGTTGTGAATTTCCGCAAAAATTTTTCTTTCCTCACAGAGGCATTCTACTTGCTTCTCTCTCTCTGCTGTCCACCTGGTTTGGGGACCTGAGAGGTGAAGAGGCCCTCTTATGATCATGTGGAGCTCTTTGAGATAAAAGTCACATAGTAAAGAAGAAAGGTAGAGGAAGAATTGATCTATGTTGACATCACAACAGAGAACTACACCAGCCTCTGACTACCTACTCTGGACTACTTTTCACACGAGTTGCCCCATTTTAAAAGTGGAGATGATAGAGGCCAGGTGTGGTGGCTTATGCCTGTAATCTCAGCACTTTAGGAGTCTGAGGCAGGTGGATCATGTGAGGTCAGGAGTTCAAGATCACCCTGGCCAACATGGTGAAACTCCATCTTTACTAAAAATACAAATACTAGCTGGGTGTGGTGGCTTGTGCTTGTAGTCCCAGCTACTTGGGAGGCTGACAATCTCTTGATCCTGGGCTGCAGAAGTTACAGCGAGCTGAGATCGTACCACTGCACTCCAGCCTGGGTGACAGAGGAAGACTTGTCTTCCTCCATTCAAAAAAAAAAAAAAAAATTGAGACAATAGTAAATCGTAGTGCTTTTTTAAAAATTAAACTAATTAATCCAGATAAAGTATTTAAAATATCACCTGATATAAAATAAAGAATAAATGTATGTTCTCTTAATTTTGTTGTTAATATCACTGTCAATATTCTATGTCATTAACAATTATAAGATATAATTGTATAAGACTATGTGAGATAATGCAAGATTATTGAGAGAAAAATATTATGGGAGAAAAATTTTTACCTCTCATTTGGTTAAATCACTGGAAGTGGGTTTCTCTTTTATGTTCCTAATGCAGATCTAATTGATACAGTACCCCACTACCCTGGAATCACGTTCTAAGTTCCCAAATCTGCATTTAAGCTCCAAAGCCCCACCCTAATCCTCCTTTCTAACCTCAGTCACTTATCTGCACCAAATTGTGTCACTTTCAAAACCCACTTATGCTTGTCCACTCTGCCCCTAGCTTACAGCATTCTCTACTCAAAAAATTATCTTCTGCCATCTTTGCTGTTGATATACACGTTTTTCAAAACCCAACTCAAATATTACCTCTTCCGGGATTCCCTGAGTCCTCACACTGAAAAAATGTGTCTTCTTTCTGATTTTCTAGAGTGCCTTGATTTCACTTCTCTCATGGTTCTTTTAAAATTATACCATATTACTTAAGTATCATCATATTTATATTAGCAAGTAGAGAAATATTATTAAAATAAGGGTACTCATTATTCATTAACTTATAAACTAGCCAAAAAATGCATTGATTAATAATTGGCAGAAATTTGTCTTAGGAGCTAGAGATTAAAATGTGAGTAAGTTATGGTATTTTCACCAAGGAATTAACAGACTAAAAGATAAGAAAAACAATAAAAGCCCTAATTAAAATGTAGCATGTGCTGTGAGAATGCCATGAAAAGTGCAATTGTTATCTATATGATATTAATATTGCTATGAAAACTCAGTTAATAGACACTAAGCCCAGACAGAGCATCACCAGGGAAAACACCTTAGACAAGAAACCTGAAATGAATTTTGAAGGGCAAATTGGAATTATCCAGACAAATGGTGGTGATCAAATAAGCAGGAGATAAAGTTGTAAGAAGGAGAACCCGGCCACCATGAGAACCAGTGGTGAACTCAGAGAGCTGAAACATGAAGCTCCATGGGAATGTTAAAGGATAAGTCTGAGCCAGTGAAAGGGTTAAGTGCAGAAGGGTACATGTGCTATGGGTACAAATTTGAATTGTATCTTAGCAACACCCATGTTACAAAATGCTTCTTTTGATTTTACATTTCATCTTAGAGATTTCCAGTCTTCAAGTTATTCCTATTTCCAATGATCAAATCCTGAATATAAAGCTGTTCTCAGACTTATCCTGTGGTAGCTATGATTTCTGCAGTCTTCTTTGAATTGACGAAATGCTCCCTCTTGTCACAGGTAGAAAAGGCTTGGGAGAAAAAGAAAGATGGCTATAGCCACCATCTCCTGAGCTCCAACTCTGCCCTTGTGTTAAAAACTTAAAATAATGCAAGCATTAAAACAATTAAACAAGGTATACACATATGCGTGAGAGAAATTAAAAACTGAGACCACACATCTATACTACATTGACTGTGTCCAAAGACTATATACTTTCTGCTTTGAGTCATAGGCTCCAAGCACCAATAAATGTATTAGAATATTGCAACAGCACAGGATTTATCCTAGCTATCAAAGATAACAAGTCTGTGAATGATGGCAGTATGTGAAACTGTGTAAACATACCAAATTCAAAGGGACCACACACTGATTGAAACTCTTACAGACTGAATAAAACTGTGATTAAATGAACATTAATGATGGTTATAAGATACTGTTGTATACGTAATTTAAAACATGATGGTTTAAAAAAATAGAAAAAAAATGTCTATAGCCATTGTTCACATTGCCACAAAGCCAATGTAATTCTTGGGACTTTGCACCCTTCCGAGCCATGAGATTCTTTAATTGAGCACACCCAAAGACCGCTAAAAACATGTGAATTTTCTTTGTATGTACAAACTCAGTATAAAAGCAAAGGTAAAATGCGTGCTTAAACATTAACAAAAGATAAAAGAAGGCTAAATCTATGTTACTTATCCATTCTCATTTTTTAGAGTACATATTTTATAAAATATGTAATAAAATTAGTTTCTAGGTTTTACCTAGAATTAACTGGCGTATGTGTATCTTTCAGGATTTGTTTTTCTCTTTATAAATCAACCTTTCACATAAGAAAATGAACTTTGAAAGAAGTAACTGTAGCATAAACTGTATTGTGTGTATATCTAATATTTACTGAACAGATTATTTCATCTTATATATATTTTTACAAGCTTCATAAAGTGACTAGAGAACCTGGTTCTACATTCATTTTGGGGGGAGAAATATTTTTATATATCCACTACTGTAAATTTTGAATAAATATACATGTAGATACTTACATTCGGTTTTAGATTTCAAAAGATTCCATTTTTTATTGTTTTATATTTTATTAACCATCTACCAGATCCTTATTTTTTGTCTTTTCCAGGTTAATATAAAATTTGTTAAAAAAAATTCTCTGTCATTCAGATTTTAAATACTGAGATTCTGAGCATTATCCTTTTGCGCCTGCAGGCTACAGGCTTAATAGATAATAAGTATTGACCTGAAATCAGCAATAATCACCAGGAATGTAGATTGGAAGATTAAACCTGGGAGATCATAGGACCATATCTTTATCTAACAAATCTAATGGAAAAAAGAAAAGAAAGCTCAGTTATTAATGTAGTTTTTTTTTAATATTGAAACATTAAAAGGAGTCTTTTGTCTAGTACCAGTGTTTCCCAGTTCTATTCATACTTCAATGTTTTCTGAAGGTTCATTACAAACAAGTCACAATTAATATAAACTCCATGAAGCTAAATACTCATTTATTTTTGTATCCTCAGCACCTCTAAATTTGTTATTCAGTAAATAGTAGCCAAGTATTTATTGAAAATAAAATTGAATGCGTAAAAAAGCAAAAGTTAAAAGATTCAGATATAATTTCATAAAATATAAATGCAATAAGATTATTAGCCTTATTCTAATAGTCATTTCTACAGCAAAAATTCACTGCTGCTTAAGCAATTCTTGCCTGTTTTATTTTAACGGACATTTAAGACAATCTAACGACTGATCAATATTTCAACTAAACTTATCAGAAAACACTTATAATTAGAGCTAAATCTTCTAAACATATACTACTGTTAGTGTCTATCTTAATTCACATTAATACATAATTGAAGGGAGTATTAAAAATGAATTCTTATAATTTATTATGCATAGAAATTTATATGCATAGTTAATAGTGAATAATTAGTTAAAAGCACATCTTTTGTTACACTTGCATTTGGAATGTTTACTGTGATAATGTTGACTTCAATTACTTTAATGGAGTTTTTTTTCAAAACCTGATGATATATTTGCATAACCAGCCATTAGACATACATGCCATTGTGCATTGTCATCTTCTTTCCCAAGAGTTAGTAACTTGGTGAGCGGGTTTTCTGCGAGGCCAGGGTCACTGTCCAGAGTTGTGTGTGCATGCTGCACGAGAGGCCCACTGCTTGTCACTGCAGGTTGTGACCGTTTAAGAGTTGGATTGATGATCTGGTGATCGAGAGTCATGAAAGAATTTACATGCTCTCTCTGGGCTTTCTGTAGCTGAGGTCTTGCAGAGCTTTCCAGGTGTGCTGGAACCTACATGATCAAAATCAAACAAACATAATGTGCAGCATCATCTGTAAAATCAGAGTTGTCCTTTCCACAATTGCACTAGGATAGCATCTAGTTTCTCTCAAATCTGTCATCCCTGCTTCTGTCCTAAGTTATATACAATTTTCATGGGTTATGATTATTAAAAAGTGATTTAAACTTTAACAAAATATTTTAAATGCTAATCCCTTTTTTAATATGAGTAGGTCTAAAAATTAGAAATAAATATATAAGCCGTAATACTTTTGGAGGGTCTAAAAAAGAAGGATCTAAATAAGGAAAATACAGATGATTCACTATTATAAGTAATTTGCATATAAAGTCTATTACTTGGATTCCTTTGTATTACACATAAATATTCTATGGAATATGATCAAAACTTTTTTCTTAAGAAAATTAAAATTATAAGAGAGCAGAAACTAGAAATATATGTACAAAATATTAAGTGTGTAATTGTTATGTGTGGTGAAAATCTAGGTAGTTTTTTTCTACTATTCTGTATTTTCCTACTTCTATCCTGTGTCCAGTTTTATTTTTTAAACTTATTTTTAAACCCTTTCATATTTTTACCTTATAATAATGATAAAGTGGCAGAGTCATTATTATGAATTGACAGAAGCATTCAGGAAAAAATCTAACACTTGTCATGTGTCAACTAATCAACTGTCCAGTCTGTCAAAATCCCTTTTTCAAAATATACCACATACTTTCAAAATTGCATGCCTTCAGTCTAGTTATCATAGTTAATATTGTACTATCATTTGTGTAAGGGACAACTTTAAGCATTTCAAATCTGTTCTTTAAAAGCCTATCAACGTAGTATTGCCTGGTAGTCATCTTTATATTTACTATGCTATGATAGGACTTTTAATACATTTTCCTCAAGTGGCCTATGTATAAACGTAGTTAATATTTCCCTCATGTTAAACAATAGTAAAGATTGCTGTACAGTGCTTATTTTTCCTTTTATTTCAGTTACACAAACTACTCCTTAAATCCCTTAACATGCATTAGCCCAGATAAATAGCCTGTACAAAGTATTTTGCATTTAAATTAGCCAGTTTGGGGTACAATATTGTAGTAGTTACTTTAGTTTAATTCTGTTATGCTGACATTTTTAGCATTATTTTAATTGTACTGCCATAAAATAATTTTTCAGTCATATAAAAAAGATTAAGATTGGTAATAAAGATTACACATATTACTAATTATATTGCTATGAGCTTTAAAGTTGTAAAATAACATTTTATTAAAATGCCAGTGGTAGTTTTTTTTTAGGGTAGCTGTTTAGATTATCCCACTGTACTAAATTAATCCTTCTTAATCTGTATGCATTTATGAAATATACATTATAAAGAACACTTTCAGTTTCACAAATCTGAATGATCATTCACACTATGCAACTGAATGCTAAAAAATATTGTATACCTACAACTGGAAAACATCTCCTCTCCTAAGAAGAGTATATTGAACCAGAATTTACAACATACACTAATTCTTTTTTTTTACTTTTTATTCCTTCATTCCAAAAGCCTTCACTGAAGCACTTACTCTTGTGTTATATCCAGAATACAAAAGAAGTCATAGATGTGATCCCAAGATTCTAGGAGTTTGCAGTCTATTGGCCAGTATTAATATCAACTATAGCAACAACAATAATGACAATAATATTAAGCAACAGATACCAGGAAATGTGCCAAATAATTACATGTATTCTTTTATTCCATTCTTGTTATAACCTTAGCAGATAGGTATCATTAATTGGTATCCCCATTGTACTATATAGATGAAGCCACTAAAATTTAGAGAGTTTAAATGGCATACCTATTATCATTCAGCTAGTGAGAAAAAAAAAAAAAAGTGGAATACAGAGTCTGTCTTCCTAAACATTACAATATCAGTTCCTGAGTAAATAACTGAAATGTTCACAATGCAAAGCAAAAGCTTCATAATACATGCAATGAAATTAAAAAGCAATAGTTTTAAAAAACATATTGAAAGAGAAAGTGATTTTAAGTCAGCTGCTGGAAGGAGAGATAGTCCTATACAGCAGGCAAAGGAAAGAAAATCTCAAACATAAAAGATCGAGATGAAACAAGACAAGAAGTTGTGAGACAGTCGCAAAGGTTACTCATGCAAAAGAAGTCACAAATACTTTTCTCAAAGCAAGAATACCATCTCCTCTCTAGGCTACTCTATATAGAACCAGAACACAATATAGTATGGGACTAACTCTAATGCTACCTAAATTATTGATTATTTCTAAGGAATTACAAAAGTTTAGCAGGCAAGAGTGAGGACTCTGTTGGATGTTACCTGTACAACATCTATAAACTAAGCAGAAGAGTCAAAAAACTTAGTGTAGCACGGGAAGTTTCAATGAAAGGTGATTATTCTGCTCCCTAGAAAAATCTCTGACTTTACCAACCATGAACCAATATCAGAACAATGGGATCACTCGTTGTAAAATACCAGTTCAACTGTGTACCACTAATTTTAAAATACCTTAAAAATTGCCTAGGTTACAAAGACATAAAATTATCTAGTGAATTTCTTTAACTGAATGTGCCAATATTTCATGGGATAAAGTAAATGAAATTATAGGTTGCCATTGTTCATTTGTTCACTTATTCAAGAAACAGTTTTTGAGTATCAGGCATGTGTGGGCACTAAGTGGTACACTGAAGGTGGAAGGCAGATTAACGTAGTGTCTGCCATCAAATCGTGTACACTATAGTCACAGTCTAGACAGGGTAGTAAAAACTGAACTCTTCATGGGCAAGGACTGTATTTATCTTGTTGGCTGCTCGACCGCCATGCTTCTTGCATGTGGCCCAGAGAATGACACACAGCTTATATGTGTTTATATGTCTTCAGCAAATGAATGAAAGAATGAGTCATTAGAGTTAATCTTGGGAATCCACTAGAAGAGCATATAAACCATAATCAGAATATCAAAGTCTTTGCTAGGAGACAAGAACAGCTATTGATTGTGATTTGGTTAATTGAATTGTCAGAGATTAAGACCATCAAAATGAAGAGAATTTTGTTTTTTAAAAGAATAAGTAAATCATATCTTCAGAACTCAAAATTATGTTTTAATATTATTACCCTAACATGTTGCTATTGCAAACTAACCTATATGTAAAATATTTTCCTTTACCTAATGCCTTATCACATTACTAACAGCTTACTTATAATAATTATTTTACATCCAGTACATCCTGTCTGACTATCAAAAAAACCGTAAGACATATTAAAAGGCTAAAAAACATAGTTTGAAAAAGTAGAGCAAGCATTATAACCAGACCCAGGTATGACAGGGAGGTTGAAATTATCTGACCAGGATGAACTTTTTTTAAACTATGATTAACATGCTAAGGGTGCCTATAGATAAAGTAGGCAGCAGGCAAGAGCAGATGGGCAATGAAAACAGAGAAAATCCAAGGGGGGAAAAAGGAATAAAAAAAGTCAAAAACACTGCACAGAAATAAAGAATGCCTTTGATGGGTCTATTAATAGATTGAAGATGATGGAGAAAAAGGTCTCTGAGATGCAGGATTTCACAACAAGAACCTACAGAACTGAAAAGCAAAAAGAAAAAGATAAAAAAAAAAATGAAGAATATGTAAGAACTGTGAGACAATGACAAAAAGTGTAACACATGCACAATGGGAAAAACCAAGGGAGGAGGAAGGGAGAAAGGAACAGAAACAATATCTGAAGCAATAATGACTTAGAATTTCTTCAGTTAATGTAACACACCAAACCAAAGAGCCAAGAAGCTCAGAGAACACCAAGCAAAATGAATGCCAGATGAAAATAAAACAAACAAACAAACAATCCATTCCTGGGCATTTTATATTTGAAGTACAGAAAATCAAAGATAAAAAAAAGTCCTGCAAAAATCTAGAAGAAATAAACACCTTACCTGTAGAGAAGCAAAGATAAAAATTATATCTGACTTTTCCTTAGAAACCATGCAAGCAAGAAGAGAGGAATTAAATATTTAAAAGATTGAGAGGAAAAAAAACAAAACAACCCACCAATCTAGAATTCTGTATCTTGTGAAATTTCCCTTAAAAAATATAGGAGAAATAAGGATTTTTATAGACAAGCAGAAATTGAGGAAAATTGTTTTTTAGTAGCCCTGCCTGGCAAGAAATGTTTTTTAAAATTCCTTAGAGAGAAAGAAATGTAGGTCAAAAATTCAGACCTATATAGGGAGAAAAAGAGCATTAGAAACAGAATAAATGAAGGTTAAAATAAAATTGCTTACTTTCTTATTCTTCATTGATCTACATTAATATATTTAAAATAATAAAGCATTTGACTATGTAGACTTATATATATGCTTAGGTATGCTTATGTAATAATTAAAATTAATGACAGCAATTATACAAGTGGCACGAGGGAGAAATTAGGAGTATTATTTGGTTGTTACAAGATATTTGCCAGAGGAGATGGAAGAAGATGGCCAAGAAGGAACCTCCAGCAATTGTACTCCATGCAGGAACACCAAATTGAACAATGATCCACACAAAAAAAACACCTTCATAATAACCACAAATCGGGTGAGCAAACACAGTATCTTGTTTTAACTTCATATCACTGAGAGAGGCACTGGAGAAGGTAGGAAAGATTCTTGAGTTGCTAACATCTTCCCTCCTCCAACCCTGGCAGGGCTCAGAGAGAGTGTCTGTGCTCTTGGGGAGAAAGAGTGCAGTGAGCGTAGAACCTTGCATTGGAACTCAGTGCTGCCCTGTCACAGTGGAAAGCAATACAAGGCAGAATACAGCTGATACCCACAGAGGGAGCATTTAGACCAGCCCTACCCAGAGGGGAATTGTCCATTCCAGTGGTCAGAAGCTTAGTTATTTGCAGCCTCAAAACCATGGGCTAGAGCTCTCTGGGTTTCTGAATAAACTTGAAAGGCAGTTTAGGCTACAAGAGCTGCAATTCTCAAGCAAGTCCTGTTGCTATGC